ATAATTGAAGAATCCAACAATTATTGAACAAAGTGTTTTGAAAGGCAAGAATGAAATTTTTAGTGATTATCGAGTCAAGCAGATAACAATAGACACACAGCATGAATTGATGATGTAGTAAGACGTACCAAGAGCATCAACAAAGGTGCGACCATTGGTGAAACGACCCGTGGTACCCTGGGGAAAATCGATGCCGTAGGGCCTGTAATTAGCCCTGGAAAGTGTAAGCATGCCATTGTTATTTCCATTATCCACCAAGGAGTCACCGAAGATGAAGAAGCATGGTACTTGAGGCCCCTGCGGCTGTGCCTGTGAGCAACCTCTGGCACTAAAGCACACGATAATCAAAATAACCAACAAAACTAGCTCACCCAGGGTCTCCATGTTTGAATCAGCTGAAAATCAAATCACTCTCCCTGCATGCAGAGATGCACATTGATTTATAGCTGATCTGAATGATCTGGGTTTGTTTGCTATCATGGGATTCATGTGCATGCAGATCCATGGGGCAGTTGGCTTTGAGTTTTTGAGATAAGGTTGCAAGAATGATCGGGAAAGAAGTACCTTTTAGCTGTGGACTGCTCATCTGTCTCATAAAGAATGACTTTACATTGAAGCCGCTAGCATCGGTTGTGGAAGGAACTATCTCGTGATCAACTTGGCCACCACAAGCTTGAACATGATCACATCCTTTCAGGCTTTCAGCTCTAGATAAGGTCCGCAAAGTATATAACCCAAATAATGCAAAGGGTTAATTAAGGCTACTCAATTAAAGCAATATGTAGGGATATACTAAACTATTTATATTATGATTAAGGACTATAGAGGGAGCATCCAAAAATTAAGATATTAGAGCATAATGTTGTAGTTATTGTTTGAAATTTGAACTTTTGTTGTTACGGTTAATTACTTGAAATTTTATTTACAAGTGTTTTGTAATATGATTTAAGATGATTGTATTTTCTCTTTTGAACTCTTAACGTGTATCGGGGTTTAGTATTAATAAAACTGTATTTGACTGAAAAATATATATAATATTAGATATTAGGTTTGCAACTGTAATGCCAATCTAAGTTAGCAAAGGATATGCTAAAAGCAGCAAACTTGAATTTGACACTGGCGGGATTTTAGGCACAAATGGTGCCATTATATTCTTGGGTACTTTCATGTTTTTTGATCGATGTCGACGTTGAGGTGTAATTGTAATGCCGATTTAAGTTTACAATCAATATGGTCATGGTAGCATACTCGAATAAGCATTTGTGTTATCATTAATTATATATTAATCAATTGCTCTATGTTTTTTTTAAAAAAAATATCGAGATAGAAAAAGTATATGGTATTCAATAATAGATATTATTTTAATCTACATATGTATATATTATAACTAGGTAAGAATTAGTGTCTTTTATTTAATTTCTTTCCTACCAATGGAGAATTTAGTTGTATAGGTACGTGGGTTGAATAAATCTGAGTCAGATATATAATATTCTTAATTAAAACACCCTTATGTAGCTAGTAGTGATCATCCTAAAGAAGGGATAGCACTAGGGAGGCAATGACTATCCTGAGAGTGATAATAGATATTGGGAAAAGGTAAAATTCTGGTGGGGTTGCTAGCAAGAAGTTTAGAGAGAGAAAAAGAGGTTAGAGAAACTCTGGATTATGTCCTACTAAATTTGGGTTATGAATATGGAATCAAAACAATGTTGTTTAGATGATCAAAACGGTGTCATTTTCGCCAAAATCAGAAGAAAGAAAATAAATAAATAAATAAAAGTGGGCTGGGAAGCTGCTGCACTCCAAAAGAGCCTCCCAACCCCATCTTTTATTGTTTGTTTTATCATTGGATTGGATAAACAAAATTTGTAGAACTAATGGCATTCACTAGCTAAGGGCCCAAGGCAAAGTGAAGAAAATCCCAGTCTCTCTTTGGCATAACATGAGAAACTGCAGACAAAAAGAGCAGTCCTTTCGCGGCCATTTCTCACTTCAACAGACCAAAAATGAAGGGTTGGAATTGATTGAGATAGTTTAGTTTCTTCTTTCATTCTCCAATCTCTCTCATGGAAGTCTCTTCCAATATCTCCCACCCAAAGTCTCTTCTTCCCAACTTCAAAGGAAAAAGCTTCCCTCCTCCTCACACCTTCTCTTTAAAATCCTGGGCAGCTACTGAACGCCACCGTTTCCAAGGCCTCATCAAGGTTGTCCTTTCTGTTCCCACCATTTCCATAAGAATTAGTAGAATGGTTTTTTTTTTGTCTTTCTTCTGTTTTGTACCCTTTGATGGGTTGCTAAAAAACGAATGATTTGGTCTTTTGGTGACAGAAATGGAGATTGCAGAACAATAGCAAGGACTATATCTGCGCTCACGTGGTGAAAGAGTTAAACCAAACTCCTTTTATCCGTTTGTTGTATGCTGGGTTTGGTTTCATTTCTTGAATAATTTCAAACTTATTTGGGGTGAGAGTTTCAAGTTTTAAGTGCAGGGGTGAAACTTTGTCTTCGATTTCAAAGATGTATGGGGTATCCGTTTATTCAATTGCAGCTGCTAATAAGGACATAGTGGATGTTCACGTTGTTTTCAAAGGCCAGCTCCTTAACATCCCTGCTTCTTCCCTCAAAGAAACTCTACTTGTAAGCAACATTGTTCAAGTTAGTTAATCTTGGCTATGAACATTTGCTGTTATGTGGGCTATTAACATTCTGATTCTCTACTTTGCAAATAACTGGCAATATGAAGTCCAAAGAGGGTTCTTCAAATCCAACTTTCATATTTTGTTTTCTTTTTTGGATTCTTTTTTGATATACCATAATGTTCTATGCAAAGATGCCATAGTGTTCAATGGGAAAATCTAAGTTAACAATATTGTAATCATATTCTAACACAATTGTATTCTTACAATATATCATTGATTTAGCCTGTAGTCTGTACAATTGCTATTGTTATGTTAATAGACTGTAGTATAAAGTTTGCTGCTACTTGTGTTGAATTACACCTGGACCGTTTATCAGTTTTATGTTGTAATTTACATTTGTACTGCGTGTTTCCTTTTCTTTTTATCATGATCAGGCCAAGAAGAGTAGGTTGTGGCATTCCATCCGCGCATTCAGAACTCCTTCACACAAAAAAATTTACTCCATGATTACTTCACATGGTTTGTCAAATGTAAGTCTGTTTATAAAACATAGCAAAGTGATTTGATGATTTACTAGTGCTAGCAAGCTTAACAGGCCTTCCCGCTCTATCAGCAGGCTAAAGCCACTGGTTATTTTCTAGTTCTGGTTCCTCTTATAGCGTTTTGCATCCGATGCGTAATCAGTACTTTTCGCATTAGAGTTGCTACAGACATGAGACACCAAGCTGTGGGTAAGTCAAAGGGACATCATCCTGGGGCAAAAAGCATGCGGTGGAAGTCTGCTCTCAGTGACACAGGGGGAACAGATGCTTTGGACTCTGAATCAGGACTTGATTCCAATGTGAGTACTGCTGTTCAACATGGTTGTACTGATTTGGTTGTGCATGGTTCATGATACATCTGTAAATACCAACCACAATATTCTCACAAAAAAAAAAAATTATTAACCATAATACACAGACATCTTTCTTGTTTTTAACCATAATGTCAATCATATAAGGCTGCAAAATCCAAATTCTTTTAGTGTCTGCTACTTTACATCTTTCTTTGAGCCCTATCTCCCACGATGTTCCATGCCCTTGCTGTAATGAAGCACACATCTGATACTTTCAGACGCAAGAAATGTAGCATTCATTGCCAATATTCAACAGTGATTTTTTCTTCGGAGAACAGGACATCATTTTTCATTTTTTGATCCTTTTTGACTTGCAATTGGTTAGTTGGAGTCCATTTTGCATGAATTCTGGCACTGGTTTCTGGTAGGTGTATCTTGTTTCCTTCTAGAGTCTCCAACAGTTTTTTCAAAACACCATCATTTTTTTATTCTTTGATTCTTGTTTGACTTACAATTCACCGGTTGGAGTCCATGTTGCATGGATTTAAGCCCTGGTTTCTACTATAATGCACCTTGTTTCTTTCCAGAGATTCTAACTGTTTTTAGGTGTACGAACACCCATATGATAACCATGTGATCTTATGTTGACACGATAGCCCATAAAGAAGGGCAGGTTCCATGCAAAGCAGCTTAAAGCCCTCAAAACTAAAATTTTAGACAGTCATCTTTTGTCAGTTTTGCTTCGGCATAGCTGTGAATTGCAGGCAGAGAGGATAAGAAACCTCTAGGAGTTCAAAACACTATGTTCCTTATCTTCCTTATGCCCCCATATTGGAGTAATTATCTCCATAAGCCAAGTAATTCTGAATGAAATGGCTTTTTTAAGGTTAATATTTTGCTGACTAGATGATTGTACTCTGGGGAGCCTTAGTCTCACAGCCCCCAGTCAAAAGACCCTTTGTGCAGGGCGTCAGCTTGGCTTGGGAGTGGCCTTAGTGTGATATGTTACGTGGCCATGGGATCAAGTGTTGGACACGGATATGTATCAGACATTAATTTTGAGGAGCCAAATATCATACTTGCACAAAATAAATTAAAAGTACCTAAGAAGCGTCGGACACATGTATTTTAGGGTCAATCACTTTCTGTTATGACCTAAAGTTTTAAGAAAATTCGGCTAGGGCTATGAGTAAATGTTGAACTGTTGTGCAGAGTCCTTCGGACGATGAAGCTTGCATTTCCTATGATCAGGCCTCTCATGCTTATAGTAGACTTCAACATGATTATGAGAAATTTCTTTCCGAATGTGGCATGAGTAAATGGGGATACTGGAGAGGTGGTTCACCTGGGACCTGACTGGAGCACTAAAGTGCGTATCGGTCTCACTAGTATAACAGGTACTGACATTGAACTCCGGCCATCTTCAGACATCTTCAGAGTAGAGAACTGGAGCATTAGAATACGTTTCATTCTAGCTAGAGACCGGCTCATGGTTTGTATTTTCCAGCAGAAATTTGATATAAATGTAATCAATTTAACTGGGAATAATTGAACCATTGTACAGGAATGATTGAGTTGCATTTTTGGTGTCTCTGCACTTACTCATAGATCTTGGATACTTTACCACACAAAAGGAATCCCATTTGAAGTTCAGATTCCAACAATTCTCATGACGCTAAAATCCAAAGTGTCCCAAAGTTACAAATTATCATTGCATTGTGTGAACGCTAGATCTTAGCGGACACGGCGAGCTTTTTCTTCCTGCCCTATCCCAAGTGATTTCTGTGCATTTGCAATACCTTCTGGGTCTGCAATATAACAAATCAGAAAGAGTTAGAATCATGATGCAACCCAGGTAAAAGTGGGAGAGTTTTTCAAAAAGCACATGCCTTCAGAGAGAAAGAGACAATCATCTAATGATGGATATTTCTATGCCATTCTAAAGATAATGAGAATCAGATCTGCTAATAGAGTGATTCTACTACAGTAATATAGAATTTACAATGTCGAGATGCAACTAAACTAGCATATGCAGCTACCAATTAAAAACATAATAGACTCTATAACTTGGAAGAGACATTTGTATTTAAAAAAGCAGGAATCATGTCTTCAGGACCTGTATGGCCTGCGATAGTATGTATTTCACTTCAGATGTAACAGAGATTGAAGAAAAGCATATGAATCCCAGTTGACCTTGATATATGTTGCGAAATTCATGGATAGTCATGTTCTATTTCTAAGCTACCTATGGCAAAGCAAGCTTACCAAAGAACTGAGTGAATATGCGTGTGAAGAAGCTCAAGTTGCGGGAAACATTGTATGCCATTGCAGGTGGAAGAGGCTTCACAACAGTGTCTATGCTAAATACTCGTTGAAGAAACTGTATGAGCATGGAAATATTAGAATACTGCTTGAAAAGAAAAGTGAACATTAAACGCCATAAAAGACAGGTAATACCTTGAAATGACATTCACCTCCAAAAATGATATAGATATGACAAATAAAGAGTAGAAAGTCGCATTTGAGCTCATCAACTACAAAATTTGAAGTTTTATATGCAGTAAAACATTATTTGTTTTGACTACAGCATCAAACTGTTATTAAAAATTAGTGCAGTATATGTGCATCAACAATTTCGTTGGATACTGTTCTGTAAACGTTTATGATAATTATACTTTTGTTTATTACAAGGTTCATTGTCTTGTGCAATAGTAAAATTCTTTGGTCAATAAAACGCAAGAGACTACTTCATGCAAAAATGCTAGACCATCATACCTACTAAAAATCACCTATCTTAGGAGAATCCTTTTCTTTTCTTTTCCTTTTATGATTTCTTTTCTCTTGTGTTTGGCTACAACCAAAATATAAAACAAGAAAGAAACCCCAAAAAAATCAAACTAAACAGATAGCATCCACTTTGGGTCTAAGAACATGAACAAACTCTTCATATTCTAGCCTTTTGCTTTTCACTAGTAAAAACCAAATAAAATTTATTGGATGCCAAAAGAAGCTAACAAATGTATAAAGAGGTCAATGTACTGTCAAATGCATCACAACCAATAATGAAATATCAGAGAAGGCCATGAAATAAAATCAAGGAAAGTTAAGTGAAATTGTGTTTTTACTTTTCACATGACAAAAATATTGAAGAACTCCTAATAGGAGCTCGACTCCAATCCAGCAATGGACGAGTCAAGTCCAAGTGGTTCAAAAGTAGCTTGGCAAGAAAAGGGCTTCTTTCAAATTAAGAATTTTGTGGTTTGAAACTAAATTTTAGAGTTAACTGGAGTCAAAAGCATGGAATATTATAGGAAGAATGTTTGTAATGGAATTCAGTAAGACTGCAAGATGAAATTAGGTATTCAAAAGGCTATTTAGGGCCTATTCTGGTTCTATGAATGGTACCAGTGAACAATATCAAGAATAGCAATTACAGGGTTTTAGGGCTGAGTATGATAGTAAATCCAAGTGAGTTGAATTAGGGTTTCTAGAAAGGAGTTAAGGCTGGTTTTAACCTAGAACAGGACCTTGATTTAAAGTAGAAGTAGGTTCACGCATGTTTCCTTAAGCTTAACACCTACAGTCTCAAAGGCTCACCCTAGCTCAGGGCTGCTTCACATAGTTCAAAGGAAAGCATGATAACAACTGGAATTCTTATAAATTTTTCTTTTAAGAAAAAAGTCTGAAGAAGTTATATGGTTATATGTAGAGCCAAAGCAACCTACCCTTCAAGGACTACAATTGGAAACAAACCAAAACTTCACTCAAAAACTAGTTTTAAACTGTAAATAAAAGGTTAAACTCTTCCATGGATCCATGTACTGCAGTCAATTTTTTCCTCACGCTCTCAAAAAATTTCATCAATGTGAGTCCCTTTACCACTAAGGGTAGTGTGTTTAAGGATAATTAATAACACCTTCAGTAAATGGATGCTTTTTATCAACAATAATTTGTTTATATATATATATATAATGAAAAATGGTTTAAAAAGAGAGAAAAGAAAATGCTGGAGAAGAAATGGGTGAAAATTGTAGGGGAAGGAAAGGAGGGAAATTATTGGGGGGGAGGGGAGAGAGAGAGATAGAGAGAATGGGGAAGAGGAATGTTGGCACTGGTCTAGCACGTGTCAATGTAAAATTGGTGTTCATGGCTGACTAGTAAATGAAAAAAAATGCCTTTTGAAAAAAGGAAATGTGTTGTGAAACTTAAAAACCAGCTCAGTGAAAGAAGCGGATGAGCAGGCAGAGATGGTGGCCAACTATGTTGGTGGGATTCAGGTACGGGTGTAAGGTTTTGCTATGTATCTAAGCGTCTAACATGCCAACTGCATGGAATAGAAGACATGAAAATACAGCTACAAAGTGTCCAAAATGAGGATACATGGGGACTTGTTGTCCACGGTATAATGTTACAATCACGAGGGTGTGGCATATGTTTCCACAAGGAACTTATATAGTAGATATTTATGTTTTTCATTCATCATCATTTTCCTTTTCACAAGCTAAGAAGAAATAAGCACGGTTCAAAACATAACTTTTCCTAAGGACAAGTGATTGGTGTTGGTGGTTTGGATAGAGATTCCATGTTCAAGCACAGAAACTCCAACCCCACCCCAGACCAAAAGCTTTGTCCCCATGTATAGATCCTATGGAGTTTATTATCATGGTTTTCTAATAACACTAAATTCAAATTGTCTTCTACCTTCTTCTAGCTTTCGGATATTTTAAATTCCAGGATGCAACATTCTTTTTTAATATTTTGGACAACACTGTGTATTCTACATAGCAGAGTGTTAAAACCCTTTTAGCCATGATTAATTCATTATTGTTTAAATTTAAAAGGAGATTCACATTTTGTAGCACAATTCTCTTATCAATTACAACTTACTTTCAGAAGAAAATGGCTAAACAGAGTCTGAAACAACAGATAGATGCAGTCCTACTAGAGAAATTGGAACAAATACAAAGCTGGAAGTACAATTCCGGGTCAAAAAACCAACATATTCAGGAAGAATGAATGTTTTTAATGTAAGAACTATGCACCATCGACAAAATGTGAAGTGGGTAATCGACTAAACGCAATGAAAAGTTGCTTTTAACAAGTTTAACGAACAAACTATCAAGAAACAGGAACAGGGCAATTTAAAAAGAATATAAAAAAACGAAGAGAAAGGGACCTGGAAGTTGCGTTGAAAGCTGTAACGGAGTTCGGGGTCAATCTCGAGGGAATCGTCATTGTCGTTGTCGAATTTAGAATCGGCGGACTTGGGGCGAGGGACGTGCATTTTGGGAGTGGAGCCAGGCTGGTTGGTGACCTTGAGCTTGGCGTCTGCGAACTTGTTGGTGTTGTCTTGGTCGTCTCCTCTCCATGGTGCTTTGCTTAGCAGTTCTTTCTTTGTCTTTCCCATCAGTGCAATCTTTCTGGTATCTTCCAGTTTCCCCTTCCAAGTTAAATGTGGGAAGAAAATAGGATAAGGACTGCTGTTCGGTTGCAAGAGGATGGCTTTCTTGTTCCTGGACAAGGATTTCACCGCCCCCTGTTATCAGCAATACGGAACACGGGACAATTTAATTTTACAAACCAAACATATTTAAATATAATTTACATAATTTCTAAAAAACTCTTAAAACTATTTAAATAATTTTTAAAAAAAATTATTTTAAACTAAATTAACTTTAAGTTTATAATTAATTGTTGATTAATAATTATTAGTTAAAATATCATTTATTATTTTATATTTATAACATGTCATAATTGATGTTGAAGTGATGTTTTTAATAAAAATACTTATTTGACACAAAATCAAAAATATATAAATTCGAATGAATGTAATAAAAGAATAAATATTTATTTAAATTTTTTAAAATAATTTAAAGATTTTTCAATTATTATGATAATTAAGGATGTGCAAATGCAAACCAAATTGAAAAATCAAACCGAACAAAAGTGGATTCGATTTTTTCAATTCGGTTAATTTGGTTTTTTGGGTAATTGGGTTATTAAAGTTAATTCAGTTCAGCTTTAATTAAGAAAATTTCTAATCGAACTTGAATAAGGGTGTAGGAAGAGAAAAATTATGAGTCAATTACATGCCGCCATGTGGATTTAATGATGTCATAACAATGTAATTAATTATAAAATAATTAATTTATTGATTGGATTATTTTAGAGACATGTAGTTGAACCAATTCACCTATTAGTATATATTTATCCCTTGAGATAATTTGAAAATAATATTTAAATTGGACCATTAAAAATTAGCTATTTGTCATCCAATTTGTCTATAAATCAATCAAGGTAATTTAGAAATAATATTCATATTTTTGACCAATCAAAATTTAATTATTGATCATTTAATTTATCGCTAATAATTATATTAACTTAGAGATAAAAATCAAATTAGATTTTTTAATTTATTTCTAAATAAATTAAGATAATTTAG